CCCCGTGCCGGCCCTCCTCCACCGAGAGGTATACTCCTCCCTCCTTCCTCCTCCTCCCTCCCTCCCTAGTTATAGTTATTAGAGAGTAGTTAATTTTTAGGTGTTTTAGTTGAATTTGTAGGTGTTTTAGTTACATAATGTAGGTGCTTTAGTTGAATTTTTAGGTGTTTTAGTTAAATTTGTAAGTGTTTTAGTTAAAAAGGTAGGTTCTTAGAATAATGTAGGCGTTCTTAGAATAATGTTGAATTTGTTTTAGGTGTTTTAGTTGTTTTAGGTGTTTTAGTTGTTTTAGATGTAGTTAACAGAATTTTAGGTGGTTTAGTTGTTTTAGGTGTGGTTAACAGAATTTTAGGTGTTTTAGTTGTTTTAGGTGTAGTTAACAGAATTCTAGGTATTTTTTTAGTTAAAGCAATTGTTGTTATTTTTTAGTTAAAGCAATTTTTCCTGTTTTATGCAAATTTGCAGTGGACATGTCATATTTTGAACATGTCACATTTTGGACAATGTCATATTTTTTCGAGTGGCCTATGTTTTGCCAGAAATGTCAATTCGTTTACGTTCTGGCAAATTTCAGGCGCTCGATTGGTCCTATTTTTAGCAAAGGTCATGTCAAATTTTGCTAAGTGTTTATTAATTTTGTTTTCATAATTAAGCATTTTGTTCTCGACGTCGACGATGCCTATCCCGCATCCTCGTCGTCGACTCGGCGGAGGACTCCTGCTTGAGCCGAGGGGCCATGTCCGGGACTGGGCTCCGCCGGGCTGGTACTTGGTTGTGCTACCTTCTGGTGAGCGCAGCTTAGTGAGGAGCCAGCCCGTCGTCGACCCGGAGCTTCTTTGGTGGCGGTCACGTAGGCCTGCATCGGTGGAGAGGCTTCAGTCCCCCGCACAGGTGGTTCAACACCGTGTCACGGAGGAGAACGCGCACGTCCAGCGCTACTTGGTTGTGTTGGTGAACAGCCGGTTCTCCAATACCCGGCAGATTATTTGGGGATCTCACCGGAGCTATGATCCGGTGATGGTTCCTTCTCTTTGGGTGTCCACCGCGGCCCACTGAACCTAGAGGAGCTATTATTCGAGATGTATTAGTCTTATTATATGATGATCTTTGCTACAAACTACTATATATGTATTCGATGATGGATTATTAATTACCTATTAGTTATTTGCTTATTGAATGCAAAAGATGAGCACGGTTTGTGCTACAAACTACTACATATGTATTCATGACGGATTATTAATTACCTATTAGGAAATGTCTGACGACAAAAGGGAATTCGCTATGTGCGATTACTGTGAAGATAAGCGCGGTATGTGCGACAGGCCTCACCTCGTAGAAGGTCGGCGCTTCAGCATCAAGCTCCAAGAGACCTTTGATGTTGATATGGTATGCAACGATGACAAGTTTTTTATGTTATTTTTGCACGACTTCTCTGCTTCTTCAACGTGTAATTTCCGTCTTTTACAATTCGACTAGCTTATCTCATGCCATGCAAGACGCTATGTCTTGGAGAAGATGGGTTTTGAAGATCATGAAAGCACGAAGACAAAGATAATTCAATAATTCAACTAAGGACCCATCATGGTTATGGTTTTGCTGTAAAACTATACAATTCTGTGAACTCATCCAATTTTGGTTGCCCGAATTGGGAAGCCCTTTCCAAGGCGTATGATTTTCATGAGGGTATGCTTCTTACCTTCGATCTTGGTGATCCTGACATCGACAAAAATGATATGACCATTTGGGTCCTTGTTGACACGCTCCCAGTTCTACCACTGTGTGAGTTTCTTAAACATATTTACTAAGTAATTTATATTGTTAATTTCAAAATATTTGACAACTTATTTGCATTGACAGCTTATTTTCATTCTTCAAAAAATGTACGGAAGATGGTAGACATAACCTACTACTACAATGATGAAGCACAATTAACTTATAAGGAGAAATATGGTCTTATCACTTTTTTTACCGATCTTGAGAATTACAATAGCTATTATCGAATTCCTCAAAATTATGGTCCATATGTGCCACTAGTGCACGCGGTGTGCTACGGTAACATCAATGGAGATATCATGGTAAGATTTTCTACTATTACGACATCCGTGCATCTTTGAACATTGCTAACTACATTGCTAACTACAAAGTTATTACTATGTTTTTGAACAGAAAATTCCGATGGATTGTGTGCCTCATCTGATGTTGCCAAGAGGTCGCGTTGAAGTTATGAGCTTACGGCCACCACGGCCAGGTCAGCCACAGTATCCACGTCACTCCTGTCCATACCGAATTTCTAAAAGCAAGGAAGCCATGATAATAAATGATTGGAAAAAATGTTTCAACCATCATAGAGAGCTACTTGGAAGCAACATTGTGCGTAGGCCAAGACTTGGAGACAGGATGATCTCCGTTCTTCATTATGGAGAGTTCAGTTTCCTTAATAAAGAGTCAATGCCTATCTTGTTTTATGATATTTTACCTAAGAGAGGGTAGAGTAGGTCCTAGGTAGAATGTGTTATTATGTGCTATAATGTGTTAGAGTTGATGAGGAGGATGAGTTGTGATTATGACTAGTGACCAACTTGTTATATATATGATGTCTCATTGACGAACATTGTTTGGTGGTGATGACTACTGGTAATGAATATGTTATTTAAACAAACTAGTTCATGATGAGTTGTTATTGTAAAGAAGATATATCTGTTTAAACATGTACAACGCCAAAATAGTAAAAAAGAAAACATAAATGTTAGCAGTAGTGCTGGCCTAAAAACGCGCTACTAGTAGTTGAACTTACCAGTAGCGCTGGTCTATAAACACGCTACTACTAGAAAATAGCTGTAGCGTCGTAGCAGTAGCGCTGGTACCCGCGCTACTGGTAGCACAAAAACAAGCGCTACTAGTAAGCTTTTCTCTAGTACTGACAACTGGGCCATGGCAAGTCGCCTCGTTAGCTAGTCCCGATCGCTTCGCTCACTAGATCACCTCGTTCGCCCGATCTCAGTTGACTTGTTGTCTGGTCAACTATTGAAAAAATTCCGAAAAAGAAAAGAAATCATAAATTTAAAAATGTTCATGAAATTTGAAAGGAAGTCCACAAAATTGAAAAAGGGTTCATCAATTTTGAAAAAAAGTTCATCCAATTTGAAAAAAGTTCATCAATCTTAAAAAAGAGTTCACCGAATTTAGAAAAAGTTAATCGAATTTTAAAAAATTAAAAAAGTTCATCAATTTTGAAAAAAATCACAGAATTTGGAAAAGGTTCGTCAAATTTGAAAAAAAATCATCAATTCTGCAAAAAGTTCATTGATTTTGAAAAAAAGTTCATCGAATTTGAAAAAAACATCATTTAAAAAAATCACGATTTGAAAAAATGTTCATAAAATTGACAAAGCATTCAGCAATTTTGAATAACAACTCACTGGTTTGAAAAAAGAAAGAAAAAAGAGAAAAGAAAGAAGAAACGAAAAAAGGAAAAAGAAAAAATGAGAAGGAACAAAGGATGGAAGAATATGTACCTGATCAAATAATATGAAGTGGATGAACCGCCATGGCGCGGTTTGATCCATCTCAGGTCGCAGTTTTGTAGCAGTTTTTTCTGGAAAAAACGGAAATGGGCTGGGCCCATCATGGACGAGGGGTGTGCGCCTTGTACTGTTAGCGCTATAACGGGTGCTTAGAGCGCCGTTTAGGATTTGCCGTTCTGCAACAGCCGTATGCAGAAACACAAACGGTCAGTGGGTTCCATGGTTTCTATGGTTCCCTTTTAAACGGTGAGGCCCTCTTTATACACCGGAGCCCTTTCTTTCATCAAAAGGTATTGCAAACTTGTATAGTTCACATTCTTTGGCTCTACCAATTCATTATAGAGTGAATAGCTCTTTTTACAATAAGAGTTATTTATACAGTGACGGTATTTAATTATGAAAGTTGGCTAAGTAGCTGACCCTGTTAGTCCATTCTTTTAAGATAAAGGAGCATAAGCCATTTTCTTTTTATTACTATTTCCTCCTCTTAATGGATAACCATGATCATCCATGGAGTCAAGGAGGTTGCGATGCTAGAAGCGATCGCCTGTCGCGAAGCTATGTATCTTATTGGGGATTTGCTACTTCAAAATTTTATTATTGCCTCCGACTCGAAACAGGTGATAAGCGAAATTGAGAAGGGAAAGAACAATACCTATGGACACATTATCAAGGAGGTCAAGCACTGAGCATCAAACTTGAATTGCAAATTCATTTTCGAAGGCCGAGCAACGAACACAGATGCAAATAGACTAGCTAAATTTTCGAATTCTCTGGATGAGGGGCATCATGTTTGGTTTCACCCCCGTGATATTTTTTTATCCCACTTCATGTGACTTTTGATCAACAAAGTTTAGCCATTACCCTAGAAAAAAAACAGACGCGTCGCCGTTTTTGTTGCCTCAAAAAGGAAAAGAAAAACTTTCCCTCAAAAAAAAAGGAAAAGAAAAACTCCCCTAAAGAAAAGGAAAAGAAAAACAGACGCACCGTCGTACCGCTACAATATATACGGCGGATTTCTGATCTACTCTATCTATACCAAACAGCAGTTCGAAACCTCGGGAGGACGATCGAGATGGCGACTTCCATGGTGACGGACTTCGGCGACGGCCACTGCATCGTGGCGTTCGACCAGGACCACGTCCACACCACCCTGACCTCCTCCGGCGGCGTCGTCGACGAGTGGCTGGACCTCATCTACCGCATCCACCGCCGCCGCCTCGAGCGCCTCGTCGTCGGCCTCGACGTCGAGTGGCGCCCCTCGTTCCGCGGCCTCCCGCCGGGCCCCGTCGCGCTGCTGCAGCTGTGCGTCGGCCGCCGCTGCCTCGTCTTCCAGATCCTCCGCGCCGACTACGTCCCGGACTCCCTCTTCGACTTCCTCGCCGACGGCCGCTTCACCTTCGTCGGCGTCGGGGTCTACGGCGACGCGCAGAAGCTCAGCGCTCACTACGGGCTGGCGGTGACGAACACGGTGGACCTGCGCTACCTCGCCGCGAACACGCTGGGGAAGCCGGCGCTGCGGCACACCGGGCTGCAGGGCCTCGTGTGGCAGGTGATGGGCGTGTGGCCCGAGAAGCCGCACCACGTGCGGGTCAGCGCCTGGGACGCGCCGCGGCTGGCGCGGGATCAACTGCAGTATGCTTGCGCCGACGCCTTTGCATCGTTCGAGGTTGGCCGGAGGCTGTACGACGGCGACTATTAGGTTAAGGGTGACAATGCCATCTGTTTAGTTTTCTAGGGTTATTATTAGGTGAATAGTGTTACATTTTGCTTTGCATCACAAGCATGTCGACATGGAGTTTGCCCTGGTGTTGGAACTTGAAACTTTACAAGATACTCCCTCCGTTTTTAAATATAAGTTCTTTATGGACTACATACTGATAGCCATATTTTAGAGTGCAAATTCACTCATTTTGCTAGTATGGATGTAGTTCATATTGAAATCTCTAAAATATTTAGGAACGGGGGGAGTACAAGGGGTAGAGAGGATATCGGGTGAAACGAATTGAAAATCATGTTTATCAAAAAATAAATATGAAAAACATGTTTCAAATATTCCAAAATTTTGACAAAAAAGCTAGTGTAACATAATCCACAAGTTTCATAAAAATGCAAGATATAAAATCAAATCAATTTCGCTTGGGAGGTGTGAAAAAAAAATCAGCATCACTTTCAATAACTCATATTTTCATGCCTCACTTTTGGTTGCCAAATTTATGTCCTTCATCATAGCTCCCATAATACAGCCTCTCTCATTTTTCAGGCTTTTTTGGAACATTTGGTTTCCACTTCCTATGAAAACTTTGTTTCCACATAGTAGTAGTCTCTTGAAATAGACTTTCACCTCGCTTTATATAGAAAGTAACACGGCCGAATGATATAAGATAGTCTTACAAAATATATCGAAGAGAAAATTGTACAACAAAAATTGCACCGCAAAAAACACATACAAATCCCCTTAACAACGCAATTCATCACCGCCTTCGAGTCCATCAAGCGCACTCAAGGGTAAGGCCTGGTGTGAGCCAGGATCACTTACCGCCACACCGGTTGCCGGCCATACGACCAAGAAGTGCAGCCACCACCGTCACCATAAGACTCGACCAAGAAGTGCAGCCACCACTGCCACCATGAGACTCGCTGGAGAGCCAAACGGGCAGTCCACCACCCGGGGGCACCGCCCTGGCATCCTCGACCAAACCCCTCACTGAAACCAAAACACGAGGACGTTGCCAACAAGAGGCGAACCTCGCGCACCATCCAGCAAGTCTCCACCTTGACTTGGACGAAGGTGGCCAAGCCACACGAAGAAGCCAACCCACCGCATACGCCTTGGACGGTTTCAAAGTTCAGGTTGATTCTTACTATTCAGAGTTGAAACATGGACTTCTCTCTTTGAGATATGGCACAGAACATCTAAAAAAAAAGATATGACACATAAACTAAACAGATCCACAAGCCTTAGAATTTAACATTGTACGGAACATGTCACGAAACATATATTTGCATTGCCACTTTGTGAGTATATCCAGTCGCACAAGGCATATGGCACATAGCTTTCCTATCCAACGTTGCATTTGAAGGTTTTGATGCCGATCACGAGTTAGGAAGAGAATGTCTTGCCACCAGTCAGCAATGCTATCAATAACACATCCCCGAGACATGTGACAAAAAGAGCTCAGCCTCTCACCATGCACTCATAGTGAATCAGTCATACACGGTGCAAGGAGCATAATCCAATTATTCAAATGACTGCTAGTATACAACAAACGGACACGTCGCAGAAATATCCCCAGTACTTGAAGCCATGCAATATCACAGATCATCCTAGCTATCTGAGACTGTAAAGGTGTACATTTGATCACTCGCTCGAAAAGAACTCATAGGCCTCCTCGTATTTCTCTAGCACAACGTTGTAGAGCGGATGAATTTGCTCTAGCAAGTTCGAGTATGGGCCAAGCATGTGCTGCGGCAAGGGGCATGAAACGGAACCTGTCATTGCGCTGTACTGGCTAACTGAGAGGCCACTCAGGCAGTAGCATGAGTGATAGTGGTCTCTGTTCTTTCCAGGTTTATCCCTCAATCCTCCCTCCGGCACCTGTGTATTTCAGCAGTAGACGTAGTTTCAATTACAACATGAACTTTCAAAGCTGAAGAATTATATCCCGTCACGAAATGCACGCTCGAAAATTTGAAGTTCCGAAAATAGAAACTCTAGATATCTATCTATGCAAGAAGTAAGATGTTCTTTTTTTACCTGTGCGCAAAGCAGGATGTATTGTTGCAGAGCAATGTTGTGGAACAGCGGACCTATTTTGTTGCTCTGCTTCATAAAATCAAATCCAATCTTCGCATAATCCACTATCAGAGAATAAAAACACACAAAACGGTGACATAAATCAAGATCAGACCCAACACCTTGTAAAAATCAAAGCACTAGACACTAGTATGTAACGCAGGTTATGAAGCATTAGAAATTTGTATTCAAGTTACAAATATGTGTCGAAGGTACCAAGGCAACAAGGTGACCAAATGACACTAGTGCAGTAATGCACGTTACTTACGAATACTCCTGATGAACTAACAAAAACTTGAAAACACCAATAATCACACCATATTGAATTGCCAAACCCCAACTCATCACAATTCCAAAAGAGAAAGTTTATATTTCTTCAATATGTTGCAGTTTATAAACTCAGCAAAGAAGATATATAAGCATGATATTTAATGTAAGTATAACAGGGAATCTCAGTCAATTATTTATTTCACCAGATATTTGAAGCAGAAATATGTTTTTAATAAAGAAAAGCACACTGGTACCACAAGATAATTTTTCATAAGTATTGAGCACAAAATACTTACCAATAGAAGTTTTTTCTGAAGCCAATCCAGATGAGCTGGTCCCACAAGAATCATCTACCGAGGATAATTTGCTGGGCTGCGATTGTTTAGATTGTTCATCAGACCCTGCCATTAGCTTTTGAGCTAAAGCAATAGCAGCTCCCTGGACATACACAAGCCATCAGTCATATATGGAGCAGAACATGTGGCTTAAGAAATTCAAATACGATAGCGGTATTTTACCTGCCAAAAGGAGTAGCAACCATCAACCAATTTATTTGTCCGTCCTTGGAATCCGCATTCCACTCCTTGACGAAATGCCACCCAGCCCTAAATGATGAGGCCCTAGTTAGTGTTGCAACAAACAATGATGTGACAATACATTACATATGCAGCTTCATATATTTCCTAGAAAAGGTTCACTTTTCAACCTGGAACTTCCGCAAGAGTCCACTTCCAACTCCGAACTATTGCAAAAGTCAACTTTTCAACTTTGGACTCTAAAATCGTCTAAGTTGCAACCATGAAATAACAAAACCATCCGCTTTACAACCTTGGTTAGTTTCACAACTGGCTTCGGCTGACATGGATATCATGCCACTGACATATCATCAAACAAAACAGTCCCATGCCAGATCTTTTTCTCCGTCTTCTCTTTCTTCTCTCTTTACAGTTTCGCAGAAATTAAGAGATTTTCGATATTTGCAAAACACCCAAGATTGTAAAGTAGACAGCTCCGGTCGTTAGAGGTTGCAACTCGGACATATGTTTCGGTTGTTAGATTTGTCTGATGACATGGTAGTAACGTGGTGAACACATGGCACCCATGCCAGTCAAAAATACTCGCAAAACTACCCGAGGTTGTGAAGTACACAGTTTCAGTTGTTACAGGTTGCAACTCGGGCAATTTTTTAGTCAATTGAGAGTTGACAAGTTACCTTTTTCTATTTCCTAACAATACAACAATAGATTTTTAAATAATATCCGATACATTTCTCCTTTACATAATTGAAAACCAAAGGGCCAAGTTCAACTAATTGCAACCAAAATTAGCACAACACACATACACACTGTAATAGAAGGGAAACTGAATAAAGTAGTAGGAGGGGTTGTCTTACAATCAAGCTAGGCAAATCGAGTTTCTCCACTTCATTAAGCAGGACCATTGCAGCCAGCCCACAAAAAGTGTACCTTATCAAAGCAATTTTTATTTAAACTTTTTAACAGATACATAAAAATCATCAGAGATCCCCCGCAAAAAAAATAAAAAATCATCAGAGACCATCCTTAGAAACGTACCCACCATGAGCTTCAGCAGAAGGTTCCCCCGCAATCCCACCTTCATAAGTTTGACAACTGGGGGAGGGGGGGGGGATATAGTGTATGAATTAACCAATCATTCTATAGAAAAAGGTTATCTGAACAAATCAACCACATATTTTAAAATTGCAAAATTGAAAAAACACATTAACCAAAGCAAACCTTGCTATGTAGTTTCCAACACCTTTTGCCAGCTCATCATCAAGAATGTTCACGAGGCTGGCAACCTAAATCTCAACAAGCATAATATTAGAGAATGGCAACAGAAACATTAAGAACTACAAGAAACTCACCGATATTGCAGTATAGCAAGCGCGGACATCAATTTCACCACCATCATGCATTCTGGTTGAAGGATTTTCAATGGAGTAACAGACATTAGACAGATGGAACTTGGTATGGAAATAGTAGTTTTTTTTCCTTGCCCTATGCACTATCGAGAAAACACACCTGAAAGCACCTGATTTGTCCTTCATTAGAAGCATAAACTTGTACAGATTGTCCCTGATTGACAACTTAGAACGGTTCAGAAAACGACACAGATATAAATAACATCTTTCTCCAAGAGCAGACATAGAGTTACCTTTTTATTGATGATAGTGCTCTTTCACTCCCTATGGTTACAAGTGTATTTACAGCAGCGTACGATGTAGCGAGATGAGGTAACTACCAAAGAAAAGGTGAGCAAAAGGATGAAATTAAAAACTGGTCAGTGGACATTATCATCTTGAATGAGTAGATAAACATGACACGGTAGATCATTTAACAAAAAAAAAAGATTAATGCTATCTCTGAACTTCCAAAAGACGGAGAAACAAAACCACTACAAAAGCTAGCTTTGCCAACTACAGCAGGCTTCTTGAGTTATATGAACACATCAGGTCATCAAATAGACAAATACCAAACACACAGATACATATTTCATATAAAACATATCTCCGAAGTTACCGAAAAAGGCTTTCGCCCCGCTTTATAAATAAAGCAACCACCGAGCACAAAGTCAACAAGGTACCATCCGAACAACACGCACACACACACAAC